ATCCTGGCACAGGAGCTCAGCAGGGAGATGTTCTTCCCCTGCTGGCTAGTGATAAACTAAACTGCCACCTCCATCTCTGAGAGCAGGGCATTAAATGGTTCTGAAAGCAAATTAAAAAAGCAAATAGGTGCAGAGTGAGGAGGGTGCCATTCACTCTGTCTGCACATGAAGCTTGGAGAACTCCAGTAGCGGGAGGTTCACCTTCAGGAACACTAGCTGCTCCTAAGTTGGCATCACACACTGCCTTGACCATATTGGCCCCGTTGTCAGTGACCATGAACCCACGAGTGAGCTCGCCCTGCCCAATGAGCCACCCCTACACCATGTGGTTCATGGCCACCATGATCTCCCTTGCTGTGTGGGACTCATCCATCACCTCTGCTTAAAGGAAAACCCACCAATACCCTTACTGATTGCACCAGTGACCTGTGAGGGAGAGGTAGGTATGATCTCTACCCCGGCTGCTTCAGATGTCCGAGGTGAAGTACAAAGCTACCTGCAGCCCTGCCTTCCACAGCTCCTCCCTCAAGAACTTCCTGCATGCCTCCTATGGGGAGGTCACCACTGTCCTGCTAAAGGTAGTGCATGTGGGGACTTGGTAGGATGGGGCCACGAGCACCATGAGCTGTCTGAACCCTGGATGCTTAAGGAGAAGGGCTGGCCATCCAGAGCAAGCATCTCCCCAGTGCTTGGGTGACCTTGCTTGCCTTGGGAACGTGCCCCCCTTTGTCTCTGCTATTCCCCCACTGGTCCAGGGTGGCCTGCCTCTGCTTCTTGGGGATGGGTGCTTTGGAGTGAGAGGGGGATTTCTTTTTGGGCACACTCCCACTGGTGCCAGGCTGAGGAGGGACAAGGGCAAAGGGGTGCTGCCTCCTGAGATGTAGAGCATTGCTGTGGTGGTGAAGTGTTTCATCTCCTTGCCCCAACTGATCTGCTTTCAGCAGTGCTGGCAGGTAGCATACCTGGGATCATCTGCCACCTCAAAATGATCCCACACTACACCACCTACCCGCTTCTGGGTTGAGGGTGGGGATCCTGCCTTATCCCCCTCCTCACCAGGCAGAGGCACAACAACAGGAAGAGCTGAGCCACCTGCCCCCACAACCTTCTCCAAAGTGCCTTCCAGAAGAGACCTGCCTCTAGGGGAACTTTGAAGGGTGTGGAGCGCAAATTCAGATTCTCCCTCCTTCCCCAGAATTTCCTTAGCTATGGCACTTAGCTCCTCTGCTTCCAGATCCAGCTCCTCCTCTAGCACTGAAAGGCTCATGCTGGGAACTGAAAGGGGGTGAAGATTGTCATGCTGGTGGTCATTACTGGTGTTAGTGAAAGTGATGCAGGTGCAGACACTGCTCCCACCTCCTTGCTCCTACTAGCAGCAGAAGACTCATTGCTGCCAGGGAGAGGGTGTGTCTATGTTTTGGAGGGGGAGGGGGAACTTGCAGTTCTCCCTCTGCCCCCTCTCCTTCACCTGCCAAAAGACCTGGCACCTGCCTTTCCAGCACCCTTTAAGTTGCTGCAAAATGTGTGTGTGTGTGTCTGTGTCTGTGTCTGTGTTGTGCTTTCCTGCACAGTGATGACACTTCTTGATGAGATTTCTTTTTGTGCAGGGAAAAAAAAGACTAACAAGAACAAATAAGAGGATTAATAAGTTGAAAGGGATAACAATAGGGATGCTAGGCAAGGGTAAGTAGGAAAGGATTGGATACAATTTGCTAGCAAGAGACTAGCTAGTGCTACCAAGCCAGAACCTTTCAGATGCTGCTGCAAGACAGACACAGCTAACAAAAGGCACAGAAACAGATCACTTCACACACAGCCTTATATGTTGTTTTTACATCCTTTCCCCAGAGCACTGTGATTGGTAAGGAACTTGGGGGGAGATCACAGTCACTGGCCAGCTACAGATATCAATATCAGATCAGTCTTTCCCCTCCTCTCTTCCCCCTCCTTCTTGTCAGTTTCTGTTTCCTGCAAGCCTACCTTCCGAATCTCCAAATCTTTAACGAATTGATTCGGATGCTTCTGATTCGATTTGGACGTTTTAATGGGTCTCCTGATTCGATTCAGATATTCAGCTGCTGAATTGTGCCAAATCTCCTCTGAATTGAATTGGCTACTGAAGCTTCACACAGCCGTACTACTGATCAGCATTATGAGTCAGTAGTATGGTTTGACTGTCAAAACCTCCCCTCTGAATGGACACAAAAAAGTTTACCAACCCCATTCCCACAATTTCACGAGTATCTGTGCAGAGCAGAGCTGCATCATCAGCAGAGACTGTGCTGGTCCAACAGGCTGATAATCTTCTCATCAATAAATTAGACTAATTTCGGCTACTTAAAAAGTATTTCCAACTGGTTTCTTTTAAACTTGGAACCCATTTAGGCATGAATAACTGGTGCCTTCCGAGACTGTGGGGACACCATTTGTAGGCAGTAGCGTCAGTGGCAAGCAGTAAATGGAGACCACCTGCAGAAGCTGGCAGTGGTGGCAGCAGCTTGGGGAAGGAGGGCGGCGAGTGGCAATCACCAGCAGACGGCGGTGGCAGCTAATGTCAGCCAGGGCACTTCCCCATGCCCCCCATACAAGTTGATTATGCATTTGGGCCATTTTGTTCAAATTCTGGGAAAAGATTAAAGGGTTTCTTATTTTTTTCATTGTCTGCTGTTCACCAATCACACAAAGCTAAGGAATCTGACTGATCTGTTAGTGTCACTGTGAGCATTGACAGACATGCAGCTCCCCTCTGTAATTCATGATGCTTTGCAGAAAGTACTATGGGTTACAGCAATCCCCCTAACCAAAAAGATGCTTGCTGTTGGGCCCAGGGGGTTGGGGGACCAAGCTCCATTTTGGAGCAGCCTCATGTCTGCAGCTGCTTTCCCCCAGCCCTGTCCCTCCCCCTTCCCAGCTCCGGTGCTGTCTTCAGAATGGGAAGGGGAGAAGGGAGTGGAGGGAGTTCTGTCTGGGGTTTTCCCAGCCTGCGCTGCAGGGTGGGGTGGGTGGATTGGAGACACCCCTCCCGCCTGACCTCAGAAGACAGCACTGGAGCCCTGCTCCCCCCACGCACTGACAGATGTAATGAAGGCACTCCACTTTGGATTACTCATGCGATTGGGCACTTCTAAAGCACTCTGCATGGGTTCCAACCATGCTTTTCTGTAGGGGCATAGCTGTACACCTGTGTGCACCCCCTATGCATCATTCCTGTTCTTGGCTAGAGGGTCTTGCCATCCAACTCAGGGTCAGACTGATGGCCATATTTTGGGTCAGGAAGGAATTTTGCCTTCCTCTGTAGCAGGGGCCATGAACATCTTCCTTGGGTCTCTTGAGCATATTTTACAACCTTTAGGGTGCGTCTACACATCTGCATGGCAATATAGCTGCGAAATCAAAAAGAAGTACTAAAGCATGGTGCCATAGCAATGTTGTCATACAGCAACATGTAGATGTGCCCTTACAAAAGCAGGATGTTGGCCACCATGGTCCCGCTACCTTACCTGTGGCAGATTAGGGTGTTATGTCCTGTGTTGTGTTAGGGCTGACTACCTTTGCTAATAGGCTAGGCAATTGTTATAGGATGGTTTAGATAGGGATGTCCCCATGGAGGTCCCTTCCAGTCCTACTTCTCTATGATTCTGTGAGTCTATGATTCTAAACTCATGTCTGTTGAACTGTGGCCCATTATTACTATATCCAGCAAAACTGGATTTAATGTGTATGATCAACTGTTTAGCTGCAGTATCTTCTAATAAGGCTGTCTCAAGGTTATGAGAATAATAGATTAGACCTAGTGGTTAGGGAAACCACCTGATAAAGAGGAGACATGGATTACAGTGTTTGTCCAACTGACTTCTAAACATAAAACAGTGATATATAGTGGAGTAAGGACTGAGCCATACATTTAGTGGAGCAAGGACTGAAGCCAGGTTTCCTCTTCCCCGTATGTTTTCTAAGCACTAGGCTATAGTGTTACTCACGTGCATACTTTTGTTCTCATACCCAATTAATATTTAAGTATTCCATGCAAAGTGGAACAGCCTGAACAGGAGGGAGGAAGAGTTCTCCGCTGTAGCCTGTTGGTTAGAATATTCTCTGGAATCATGAAAAATGAGTGTTTGAATTCATCTGGCAGAGGAGGGAATTAAAATTTGGGCTAACAACCCAGGTGAGTGCTCTACTTACTGTATAAAACGGGTTAGTGCCGCCGCCTCAGCCATGTTTGGATGGGGCCTGATCTGTTCCTTGTGGTCTGGGAACACCTAGCAGATTGAACAGAGGAATAACTGGGCAGTTTTTCCAGGCAGCAGCAGTGGTAGGGGTTGCTATTTTTGCACCACATTATTTTGGGGTGGCTGCTATTTTTGCACCCCCAGGGCTCGAGTACTGCTTATCCTCTCTTAGTTACACTATTGAGGTTGAGACCTTCAGGCCAAATGATCAGGGGCACATCTTGTCACTTGGTCCCAGCAGGGCTTAAGCCTGAGCAAGGTGCTGAACTGCTTGGCACTGAAAGATTCAGGCACTTCTGGGCATGTACAGAAGCAGAATTTTAGGTAACTGATAGATTTAAGTCTTGAAAACTTAGGTACTTACAGACTTTAAACTAGGATTGAAGTCCTGGAACTAGATGCATGATATGGAAGTCAGGCAGGATGGAAGTCATCTACCTCCTTTTGTGGTAGAACGAGGCCGTAAGTCAAGTCTGTTGGATACATCTTCCATCCCAACTGCTATCTCACTTTCTGATCTTGATCAGTTATTTCTCGTACCTGCATCTCAGTTTTCACTTTAGTCCATCAACTACTGTAAAAACCTGGGAGCATGCAGAGTCTTAACAAATTAATGTTTAAGGGCTTTGCTAAACTCTGATGAAAGGCAGCACAGGAGTGGAGTGTTCCTACAGAACCAGTTCCCAATGGGGTGTGCAGTATGTGTCTTTATCCTCTTTAGAAAATGTTTCCCCTGTCCAGAATTAACACGTTTCAATTGTTTTCTAGATTTCCACTTTGCAGTCCAGCACACTGATTCGGAAGGTGAAACGCACCCTACCCAGCCCCCCTCCAGAGGAAGCTCACCTACCTCTGGCCAGTCAAGCCCACTCCCAAATGTACCTGCCTAGCCTCATGCAGAAGGGGATAGGAGGGCAAGCTATGCAGGTAACCAAGGCCAGTCTACTCAAAGACATTGACCGTGATCTGAAGCTGGTGGAGCATGAATCTACAAAACTAAGGAAGAAGCAAGCTGAGTTAGATGAGGAAGAGAAGGAGATCGATGCCAAGCTGAAATATCTGGAGCTGGGAATTAATCAAAGAAAGGAGTCTCTGTTGAAGGATAGGAGTATCCGAGACTATCCCTACCTAAGATGCCTTGGAGAGAACAGGGATTACATGTCTGACAGTGAGTTGAACAATTTACGCCTCTCCAGCTATGAGGGCAGCAGTCTGCTCACCCGGCCAAGCACCACCTCAGCTAACCAGTATGCTGAATTTTCCAGCTTGCAGTATACATCAGCCTCCTCTTATGCCCCTTATCAGTACCCCACAGGACCAGCAGGTCTTCAGAGCCCCAGTGCTTTCCAACAAATGAGAAGTCAGCCTCCCCAGTATCCTGTGGTGAGCAACAGCACCTCTCAGAATGGCTTCCAGGCAAGTCAGCTACCCACCTATCCCTCACAGAGTACGTATCAAGGACATACCTTCACTCCAAACACCAGCTACCAATCAGACTTGGGGCTGCAGAGCCAGCAAGGTTTCCGGCTACCTAATCACTATCAAACACAGACCACCTATCCCAACTCAACACCCTTGCTGCCAGCACAGAGTGCACTTTTCCAAACCCAAGCAGACACGCAGTCCATACACCAGAAGCCACGGCAGACATCACTGGCTGACTTAGAGCAAAAGATTCCTACTAATTATGAAGTGATTGGCAGCCCAGCTGTGACAGTCTCTTCAGCTGCCCCAGATGTCACCTTCAGCACCACAACAGTGACCAGCAGCTATGAGCAGTACAAGACCCCAGAGGCCAAGCCACCTGACCGGAGCAATGCTGTGCACAGCCCTTCAGCCACTTACTCATCTGAGTCTCTTTATACAAACCTGGAGCAGAACATTCCTCGCAATTACGTGATGATTGATGACATTAGTGAACTAACCAAAGACAGCACAGTGGCAGAAAGCCAGAAGAGAGAGGTGCAAATGCAAGGCAGTAATGGCCGCCAACTTAAAGAAAAAAGTGATCTGGTAGATGCTGATAGTTCCAACAGACCATGCTGCTATGCCAAAACGGAGGAGGAGTCAGAGGAGGACATGTATGACCACCACAGTACTGACCATCGAGGAAAGGGCAGCTACCACAGGGGGCCAGAGAGCAATGGCAGGGTGTCAGGGAGCAGCAGTTCTTATTACTATGGGGACAATGATTACCGGCACTCTTCACGGCCAGACAAGCATGGTTCTGGCACAGGGGTGCAGAAACATTCCTCCAAAAACTTGGCCCCTGCTGTTATCTCCTCCAAGCGCAGTAAGCACAGAAAACAAGGTATGGAGCAGAAGATCTCCAAATTCTCCCCCATAGAAGAAGCCAAAGATGTGGAGTCAGACCTGGCCTCATACACAGTGACTACATCTGTCAGCAGCAGCAATGTGGCATCCAGAGCAAAGAAGTTTCAGGATGAGATCACCTATGGTCTCAAGAAGAATGTGTATGAACAGCAGAAATACTATGGTGTGCCTGGCAGGGATATGACAGATGATGAGAGAGTGTACAGCAGTGGAAGCAGATCAAGATCATCTGGTTATGGGACAGAGAAATCGTCAAGCCGTGATGTGAGCAGCAGAAGCAAGTCCTATGAGAGAGACAGCATGGAAAGATCCCAGAAAGGCAGCTCCAAGCCTTCTTCTCTTATCATGAGTCAGGGTCGAGGGCGACCTCCAATTCGCACACAGGCCTCGGAAGAGGAAAGTCCCATCAGTCCTTTAGGAAAGTCCGTGGGTGTGTCCCGTTCCTCAGGTGGACCTCTCCCTCCATCAGCTGGGGACAGCTGTCCTCAGTTCTGCTCCAGCCACTCACTGCCTGATGTACAAGAACATATCAAAGATGTGCCAAGGAACCACGCTTACAAGCATGAGGATGGTTACATGATGGATGATTCACATTGCGTTGTTTCAGATAGTGAAGGTAACAGCTACCTGTGGTGATACATCCCAGAGCATGCTCACGCACCTCATATGCAAAGACAGTCTCACAGCCTGAGTTTGCTCGCCATGTGCCTTCTCCCTTTTCCACTCTTTGTTTTGGGTGTTTTGTGTTAGCTTGTTGGTGTTCAGTGCTTGCTCAATGTAAAGACGTGTAAAACCCTGTTTGTACGTTGTTGGGGAGGGGTCTTGACTTGCTGCTGTGATGTATCCCATATGCATGTGATAAGCTGCTTGCATTTTTTTATTTCATTGCATGGCTTCAGTCTGGGCCACGTTCATGCCTTTGGATCAAGAGATTGACTGTGATCTATTTTTGGTTTCTGAAGCCTATCATTTGGGTCAGGAGGAGACAGACTGGTTTGATAAACCCAGGGATGCTCGCTCAGAAAGATTAAGGCATTGCAGTGGCCACGCCTCTTCCTCTCAGAAGAGAGCTTCAGTTAAACACACCTACCATGACTATGATGAGCCTCCAGATGACGACCTGTGGCAGCATGATGATTACTCTCAACCACGTCATTCTTCTTCCAAAGACCACAGGCACCATGGAGAGTATGGAAGGCATTCATCCTCACGCCACCCAAATGATGATCAACCTCGGAGGTCATCCAAGCAGCACCCCAGAGATCAGGGCCGCCATGAACCCCGCACACACACACAGCCTTCTTCCCAGAAGAAGACTCAGCAGTCAGAAACGAGGACACAGCCAGGTTACCCTTCCAGCACTTCAGAGTACTCACAGCAATCCCGGCAGCCATCCAATTACCACCATACCTCAGAGTCCCAGAAAACACAAAAACCACCACCTCAGCCACAGAAAACAGAGCCCCTTCCCCATCAACCACAGCAGCCACCACAGCAAACAAGGCAACAACAACCAGGGCAGCAGCCACCACAGCAGCAGCCACAACAGCCATCAACCAGGCAGCAGCAGCCATCATCCAGGCAACCTGCTCAACAGCAAGGAGGCCCTTCCCAGCAGCCCCCACAACAGCAGCCGCAGCAGCCACAGCAGCCGCAGCAAGCTAGGGTGCAGCAGCAGTTGGGAGCTCAAGGACCACCCTCCTCGCGGCTACCACAGCAGCAGCCCACCCCACCCCAGCCAGTAGGGAAACCACAGCCAAGTCCCCACGCCCAAGCAGGGGGACACCAAGCAACACCAGTAAGTATATCCTCTGCTATATTTGGTACAATGTATCTGCCCCTTACACTGAGGAGCTGCAGCATGTCATGTCCCACAGCACCAGCAACAGCACCCCTGGTAGTTCACCCAGTAGAGGGGAGCACAATGGTGGGAATACCCTGGTGTATCCCAAAACCCAGGGTGGCACTCACCATGGCTAGTCCTGGCATATTGCACAGCACAGGAGAGTGCAGAGGATTTCAAAGAGAGGGAGGTGACCCAGGTTTTAAGTACCAGCTGCGCCCATGGCACAGGAGATCTTAACGAGGTATTCCACAGAGGGACATCAGGAGCGGCTCCAGAGCTAAGGCTGTGCTGAGACCCACCTGCAGTGCAGGACTACAATTCTTTGTTTTCATACTTTTATGACCGAATTCAGCCCCCAAGCTTGGCTCTTTTAGAAGTCACACACAGACGTACAGAATTACCCCCCACATTTGAGACAAACCAGCTGGCAGGAACCTGCTGGCTCACTGCCAGGTATTTTCATCCCCCAGAATAGCCATCTGCCTCCCTTATCCACAGGCTTTGCGCACACATGTGCAGGAAGGATGGAGTGGGAGAGAGGAGAATTATGGGAGCAAGAGAAAGAATGAGGGATGAGGGAGGCCAAGGTGATGGAAGCAAGGATTCAGGTTGGGGTGTGGGCATAGGGAGTGTGTAAACAGGGCTGGAGGCTGGTAAAACAATCCAGGCCCCACATCCACATCCAGGACTCCTCCACCTGACCAGCCATCATTTTAGCCAGCCCCACCAGCTGCCCACTGAAAGGAAAGACAGAGGGAACAGCTGCTTCAAAGCTGCATGGAGATTGCTTGTGAAAGCTAAAGCCAGTCACAGCTGTCGTGGTTATCACAGGGGTATTCTCTTTATAGACCCATGGCTGGTTGCATGGTGGAGCTCTGTGTAGGGGCAGGATGTACATGTGAGTTTGCTGAGAGCGGGTGTGCAATGTGCCCATTGCTTATTCACTGCAGTCCTTCTCCCAGTGCATATGCTGTGTTTGCCAGTCCTTGCAGAAGTGTTGCCCTTTCCCCTTTCTGCTGGGATCACTGTCATGCCAGCCCTGATGGCCATGTCCCATGTTCCTGCCTACCACGGAAGACCAGAGGAAGTCTGATGTGTGTTTTATGTTACAGCCAAAAGCAGAACAGATGGAGGCATCCAAACCCACCACAAAAGTGCCACAGCAGCCGGGGAGAGTGCCCCAAGCACAGCCACCAGGGGCAGCAGCCGCAGGTCAGTAGCCAGACTGCCACCATTGACCCAGCTATGTCACTTCTCCAAACCAGGCTCTCAGTACCATTGCCACCAGTGCTCGCACCAGTCCACCTGACTGGAGAAGATCTAGTTATAGTCCTCCATAGCCCTTCAGCAGAGGTACGGTGTCAGAGCCCTAAAGTGCCTTGCTACAGTACCATAAAGATGATTTTAAGCTTTTCTCTGGTCTTATGTCAAAGCCTATTTTTAGTCCAGCCATAAATCTGGTCACTTGGGCTGAGGTGTCAAAGGCAGCTGGATGTAATTCTGATCTGACTGTTGTGCTCTATTGTGTGCCATTGGCTACCAGACTGTTTGCTCCCACCAGCCTTATGGACAGCTAGTCTTTTATTTATTTTTACAGCCCCTCAGCACCATTCAGATGCTGTAGAGTAAAGCCATCACAGGTAATGTTGCCCAGGGTAGCATGGAACCAAAACATTTCTGCTCTTGCCAGGTTATGGAACAAGCCTAGATTAGCATCCTGCAGGAGCTGGATCTGACAGGGTCATGTAGGATGGAAACAGATGCCTTCAGTGATCTGTAATGAGGCAGTGCCCATTCAGGAAAGCAGATATAAGCAACCTGCCATGTTCTGTACTGGAATTCTGTCTGTACTTGCGATGGGTTAAAACCACTCGTGCTGCCACCAGTTTTCCAGCCCTACCAGGGGAAGCGTGACAGTTTTAGAGATCACTCCCCATGCAGGGGAAGGGTCACTAGTTGGAAGGTCACTTACCATGGGTCTATTTATTTCCTAACAGGTAATAAAGTGGGTCAGAAACCTTCAGGAGCAACTCCATCTGCTGCGACAGCAGCTGGACAGCCCGGGGTGGATGGAGAGAGCATGTTTTCCAAAATCCTACCAGGAGGGGCAGCAGAACAAGCAGGCAAATTGACTGAAGGTAAGAATGGCCATGAGTGCCAGCCTCCAGCTGGGATGTTCCTATAGATGGTTGGAGAGCATTTGGGAGGCTGCACCCTGGAGACAGGCAGGGACATTCTCTTTCTGCTGGGCAACTCAAAAAAGAAGCTCCTTGGAAACTCACCTGGTGGGTCTTTTTGGACATGCACCAGCATGTGGAGCTCCTGAGAATCAACCACAGAACAATTGCCCAAATGTCAATGCAATGCAGGGTTAGCAGAGCAACATTTGTGCCCCAATTCCTGTTATAAGCTGTTGACAACTGAGAGAAGGGTATGCATGGGAATGTAGGGATGATCATGTGAATGGATGTGTGGAGGAATGGATGCACGTAGTGACAGAGAGAGGAAAGGCCTATGTATAGTTGTCAATGAATATTTATTGATTTCTATGCCACCTTTCCCCCCAAAAAAAGGCTCAGGGCAGCTTTCAATAAATATTCAATAAGATTTAAGATTTAATTAAAACGCTCCCCAAGCAATACAATATTCCAGCTTTACCATGTTTGTTAAATGCCTGCCCAAATAGAAAGGTCTTGCAGTGCTTCTGGAAGATGTCCAGGGTCAGACTCTGGCAAGCCACAAAGAGAAGAGGGTTCCAGAGCAGAGGAGCTACTACCAAGAAAGACCTCCCATGCGTTTTTTCAGCAGAAATTGATGCACAGATGGTACTTTCAGGAGGTTGTTCTTGGATGATTTAGGGATCAAGGTGGAACATTAAGGGAGGAAGCAGGCACTTAGATGTATAGAATCTAGATCATTTGTGGCCTTACAGATCAATACCAGCACCCTGAATTGTGCCTGGAAACTCATTAGAAGCCAGTGCAGTCTCTGAAGTATTGAAATAATGAGCTCTTGGCCATCCACCTCCTTCATAAGGCAGGCCATCATGTTCTGCACCAGTTGCTGCTTCTGAATAATCATCAAGTGCAATCACACGTGGAGCACATTGCAATAGTCAAGCCTTGAGGTTACAAAAGCATGGATGATGGTGTCCAGATGTGTATCTGAAAGAAATTATTGCAGCCTTCTCACCAGATGGAGTTGGTGAAAGGCACTCCTAGCCACCACTGCTACCTGAAGATCTAGGTGCAGCAGCGGATCCAGGAGCACCTCAGGCTGCAAACCTGAGTGACAAAGAGAAGCTGAAGTCCAACAATGATGGATGTTCCTACCTCCCCCCATCCCCAAGTCATGAGATCTCTCAACCACCATCACCTCTGCTTTGTCTGGATTCAGCTTTAATAGGCAGGTCCATATGAGCATGCACATGTGCTATGCAGCACCACAGACCTGTCTGCTAATTTGCAGTGCAGCGGGCAGGGGGGAGTTTGACACCGGGAGTCCCGGTGTCAAAAAACCCACACTTAAAAAAAGCGGGGCAGCACACATGACAACAGCGTGCATCACCTGAAACTAGAGCCTGGTGGCCAAAGCCACAGTCCAGCTGCTGACCAGGCACAACTGTATGCCGCTGCTATTTTTCCATGGGGAAATGCACATGTGCACTCATCTGGATGCACCCAATTGGTTCACTTGCATGCAATCCCCAACTACAAACAGGCACTGGGTAGGTACTGAAGCTGCAGAGCCTGGATCAGATGAGATAAAGCTGGGTATTATGAGCATATTGATAGCACCTCCCCTCAAATCTCTGCACAGCCTTGCCCAGTGACTTGACAGACACATTGAACAGGAGGGGTAACAAGACAGGACCTTGGGGGACCCTACAGAAAAGATCTGAAAGGCGCAATGAATACTCCTCTATCATCACCCTCTGATACCACCCTACTAGGAAAGAGCACAAACAACTAAGAGCAATCCCAGAAAGAGCTACTAGCGCACATTAATGCATTATCAGTGCCTTACAGTCAACTGTAGTAAAGGCTGCTGAAAAATCTAGTAAGGTCAACAGGACACAATTTCACCGGCTGATCTCCACGTGAAGATCATAAACTGCAGCCACAAAAGCAGTATCTGTGCTATCCTCAGAATGAAAAGCAGACTGACAAGGATACAGGAATAGCATCCAGATGTACCTGGAGATGTTGGGCAACCACCCATTCAATAATCCCCTAGAAGGGGAGGATCAAAATAGTGGGTTATATATGTGTGACAATAGATTCACAGTTTTGAGACCAGATAGTGTTATTCTGGTCTCTGGATTGTGGCAAGGTTCTACTCTGGCCATGGGCGACTGGTGCCTCCCGAGTCTGGGGGGGGGCAGCAGATTGCCAACAGGGGCGGGGGTCCCCTCATGGCTGATCGCTGACCGGTGGGTGGGGCAGTCCCCTTGCAGCTGATCGCTGAGCCCAGAACCACCAATGGTGAAACCAGAAGTGCATTTCTGCCGACACTTCCGGTTTCGTGGCTGGCGCTTCCAGGGGGTACACAGCTGCATATATCTCTTATGCATTGCCAGTGACTCTTATGCATCACCAGTGACTCTGGCTATCCAAGTACAACCTTCTGCTTAACATAGCCCAGAGAATTTAATCCGTTGAATCCTGTATTGTGCCCATACACTATGGTTGAACAAAGCAGATATTTTAAAAGCAGACACCCAGTTATCACTAGGGATCCGTGTTTTCCATTTCATGTGGAAAAATGTGGATTTTCCCCTTTAAATGAGAAAAACATGGATTTTCCCGTTTGAAGCATGAAAACATTGGTTTCCCCATTTGCAAACAGCTCTCTGCAGGCTGGCAGAGCTCCAGCCTGCAAGAGCTACTTGCAAAAGGACGGGAATCTCAAGCCGTGTCCGGGAGGGGCTGGGCCTGAGAATCGGAGTCAGCCAGGGATGGCTTAGACTCACTTTCCCTCCTGTGGCAGGGCTTTTGGGAGCTGGGCCCTGGGGTTGGGGGACAGCTGGAGGCCCCCTCTGGAATGGCTGGGTGGATTGGGTGAGGGTTATGCTGACAGTGGGGCCAGGGCCAGCAGGGAGAGCTGGCAGGGCAATTGGGGGGCAAGGCAGGGGTCTCTGAGTGGCAGTCACCCTATGCTGCACCACGGGGTGAGGCCTGGGTTGGTGCGGGCTGCCTTGTCCCGCTGTGGCTCATCCTAGTTGGGCTTGGGCTGGGGTTGGGGGGCACTGCCGAGCTGGGGGGGCAGTGGCAGCAGCTCAGTATGGGAGAGAGAGAGGGAGCACATGCTGCACCCCTGCCTGACAGGCCAGGCACCCTTGGGGCAGGGGCAGGGGCTGGGGTGGGGGTGTTGCCCAGCCAGGGCAGTGCCCGGGACTGGGCACTAGTGGAGAGTGTTGCCCATTTGCTATGCTGGTGGCCGTTGCCTCGCTGCTCACTGCACCACCACAACACACCCCACCAGCCTGCGGCTGTGGCTGCAGTGGCTACTGGCAGCTCTACTAAGGCTAGCACTGGAAGCAGTGGCTGGGGTCCCACTGTGGCAAGGTGCAAGGAGAGGAGGGG